AACTAGAAATGATCAAACCCAATATGCCTAAAATGTGGCTGTTTATTTTTCTTATGACATACTTTTACCTGTTTTTTTTACCTAGACTAAATGTCATTGTCCAAATTTGTTTTGTTTTTTAAGTAGTCAATGCTCTTATGCAATCGTGTCAGTCATTTTAAATTAGAATACACAATTTAAGATTTAACAACCTGAGATGGATGTGTTTGTTATCCTGGTCTCACGGAGGGAGAAAATGAGGCACCCGCAGTGGGCCAGATTCCTGATTCTAACACCTGGTCAGCATTGTCCTTGAACAAGTTACCAGGTTGTTGGGAGAACCAAGTAAGACAATGATTATAAAACCTCTTCCACAAATATCCAATAAAGAACCTCACTGAAAATATTAAGTGCCTTGTTTGCAGTCATAGAAAATAAGTGGTAGGTCTGCGGCTGGGATACAGCTTCAGGCTTGAGTGTGAGAAGACTCATTCAGGGGTTTTGTTTAAAATGCAGATTATCAGAAGAAGGGCCTAAAAATACTAATTGACAGCAGAACTGCTGTTGTTGAGTGTATGAAAACTTCCTTAGGAAAAAACCTGTTTGCCTTGGTCTAATGATACTTTGACCATGGGTTACATTCATAAAACTTTGTAACTTCTTACCCCGCTAACGTACCTTGTTTGTTTCTATTCTTTAATTTTCAGAGGGCTGCCCTTTTCTTCAATCTAAATTGAGAGTGTGCTACCCCCCATGCTCACAACAGAGATGAGTTGTTTTCATCTTCTTAAAAGGTAGATCAGAATGAGTTCAGAAGGCACAGCAGGGGTTAAGTTAGCTCTGAAAGGATTACTTTGTATAACTGATTTTTAAAACATTCTCTGCTCACATCCCGCTCTGCCTCTTACCTCAGCAAGTGCCAACACCCAGGTATCCAAGGCACAAAGTTAGCATCACCAATGGTATTTCTCATTCCCAAGTGGTGGTAACAATAGCTATCATTTGAGCCAAAAACGTGTCCTAGAAACTATTATAAGGTTTTTACATCCATCAACTCATTTAATCCTCAAAACACACCCTATGATCTGCATTTTACACATGAGAAACTGAGGCACAGAGAATGAAGTTAAGAAACAAACTTGCCTGAGGTTATACAACTAGCAACCAGAATCTCAACCAAGCCAACCAGGCTCCAGAGTCCATACTCTGAACAGCTGGGGTAGCTAATGTAGACATCTCCCTCCTTACCCTGGCCTGCTTGCCCCAGCAACTTCCTCCAGACTGTTTTCTGGGACTCTCATCTTGTCTCAGGCCAATCCATTTCGCACATTTTCCGTTCTACAACACAAATGGAAACGTGCCACCCCCCATTATTTAAAACCGGAAGTCTCCACTGCTCCAGGGCTCTTAGCAAGTTCAGCTCCTTAGCCTGTGCTGGCCTCTGGCTACTGCTCTGTCCCCGTCTCAGTCTACCATCTTTCAACTTTTTAGTTCTTGGAATCCTCCCATGTTGTATTTTCATTGCGTAACCATCCAATCCCCCTCAAACTCCATAAATTCCTGAAGCTCATTAAAGGACTGGAGCTCAGTAACATTGGTTTAACGAATTGTTGCAAAGCAACAGTGGTTTCTTACTGGACAGGGCTACAGACAGGAACGGGGCCCGGCTTCTTTGAAACCGGGATGAATTCTCAGTGTGCTCACCATATTTTGATCGGGGTACTTTATCATCTTATGATGTCACTGCTGATTTTTGACTACATCTTCACCAAACCTCCTGTTACTGGTTTTGTAATTATCTCCCAGCTCACTACACGGTCTAGTGCCCA